TTTATGTCAAATTGAATAAATCTACAGTCATTTTTATTTCCGATTATGCAGAACCAATTTATAACATCAGTGGTATTTTTCCACTTTTGCAAATTTAATTTTGTTTCTAAGAATATTATTAATTTTGCCCAATTTAATTTTGCTTACATGTCGAATCTCACTTTTTAAGGGAACCATTAACCTACAAGGAAGTTTGTTTTGAAAAATCGGCTTATGGACTTTTAATGTTATAAAGGCTTGGGCAGGAGCAGTTGATTTGATTCTGTTATCAAGGTTTATCTTTTTAGCAATATTTTGCGCTTCTAAACTAATTGCGTTTTCCAAATTGTTAAAAGGCTTTTTCATAAGAACTAGTAATATTGTCGCGTAATTTTTTTTTGAAGTTTTATGTTGTGAGTTGGTAAATGTTATTTGTTTTATCAGCAAAAACCAAAATTTTTTTTTATTTTTTTTTTGTTCTTTTCTTGAATATTCAATATAGTTATACAATAAGATAGATAAGATAAAAATCGTTATACAATAAAAGAAAATAGATACAAAAAAGAAAGAACGCGGAGACTCGCAGAAGACCTTCAGGTCTTATCATTGAGAACCGCTCGTGAATATTAAGTACATTAAATTAACATGAAGTATAAAATCTAAACAATGTCGTATTAAAAATTAGCGAGAACGTAAATTTCGTAATAATATATAAATAAAATTAGAATAAAGAAATTGTTGATACTCTTATATATAAATACAAAAATATTTTAAAAAGTACTGTTTTCACAAACACATAAGTTATGGATCAGATATAATATTTATATATTACCTTATGTAATAAACTTCATATTCATTTTTAAAAGAATTTAAAAATATAAAAAAATGTCTTCAAAAGACAAAACAATTAGAGCTTGATTTAATTTTTTGAACATCTAACTTTAATTTTGTTTGAAATTATTTTTTTATAGGGCGAAATTTAATTGTTTTAATTTAATGCAATAGGTCATTTTCAAAATTGTCCAAGTCAGGTATGAAAGGTGGGAATTTTTTGTTTTAAATCCATAATTATCAATATCTTGGTTATTATTAAACATATCATCTGTGTTTGTATTTGATTTTAAAAAAAAAAATGGGCTTTTCAAAGAATTCTTTTTTTAAAATAGTCAAATTTTTTAATCAAAGAAATAATTTAACTTTTTTCATCTAATTTAGGTATATTTTTTAACGCGTAAGTGAAGTTTTTAGTTTCCATATTTACACGTAACGTAAAAATTAAGAGTGCTCAACAAATGTTAATAAGGAGCCTAATATATATTTAAACAGTTTTAAATGTTTTAAACATTTTATATTGTTTCCAAAAATTATGGAAAGAATTATAAAAGGTCACAGCGAGCCTTTGTTAAACAAAAAAGAATTCCAAAATAAAAAAACTACAGAAAATTGTAATTGTAAACAAAAAAACCATTGTCCAATGAGTGGAAGATGCTAATCAAAAAATGTGGTATATAAATGTGTTGATTCCTCTAAGAATGTATCTGATAAATAATATATTGACATAACAGAGGGTGAATGGAAAAAACGTTCTGCCCATCATAAACAATCTATTGAAAATAAAAAAAATTCAAAAGACACCATGCTGTCAAAATATTTACGAAAATTAAAAGATAAAAATATTGATGATTTTATACTGAATTGGTACATCCTTAAAACATTGCCTGCATAAAACAATACTTCAAAAAAATGTATAGTACGTCTACAAGAAAAAATTGAAATAATTACACATACAAACCAAAAATGTTTGTTAAACAAAAAAACAGAATTAGTTTCTCAATGCACCCACGCGAATAAGTTTCTTTTAGAAAAGTATAAAAATAAGTGAGCTCAAATAATAGTTAAATTAAATCCTCATTTAAAATTATTTTTTTAAAAAAGTCTTAAGTAATCATTTCTAAAAAATTTGTTTCAAAACAGTGTCAGCAAATCACACAAATGTCTAAAAAAGTACAGTAGTTAACATATCTATATCTATATCTATATCTATATATATATATATATATATATATATATATATATATATATATATATATATATATATATATATATATATATATATATATATATAATTTTGATATTCCTACTTAGTTAATTTGTATAAATATTAAATTTTATAAGAAAATATTAAAGTTTCATAATAAGATTGTAAAGATTTGATATTCTAATTCATCTTGTTTTTGAAACATTTTGTTAAAGAAGCAAAATTTTATACCTTTAACTAGATGTACTGAATCATTTTTAAAAGCTAACACTTTTTCTATTTCTAGATGACAACTTTGAGTATTGACATCATATTTGATGCAGTCACATGAATCTTTATTTTGACGTCGAATATGCTTGTCTCAATTGTGCTTGTCACAAATATGATGCCCGAATGTTCTTTTGATGTCAAGCTGTGAAAAATGCTTTCATAGCATTTTTTAATAACAATTTTAGTTTCGTCAATAAGTTCAATAAATTCCTTTTCTAATGATAAATAATTGTTTTTTAATAAATGTTTCAAATTTACTCCTTGAGGAAAAATACGAATACATTACTCATCTGAACGGAGCTTATATAGCGTATATATACGCTATATATATATATATATATATATATATATATATATATATATATATATATATATATATATATATATATATATATATATATATATATATATATATATATATATATATATATATATATTTATATATATATATATATATATATATATATATATATATATATATATAGCGTATATAGCGTATATATATATATATATAGCGTATATAGCGTATATATATATATATAAATATATATATATATATATATATATATATATATATATATATATATATATATATATATATATATATATATATATAAATATATATATATATATATATATATATATATATATATATATATATATATATATATATTTATATATATATATATATATATATATATATATATATATATATATATATATTTATGTATATATATATATATATATATATATATATATATATATATATATATATATATATATATATATATATATATATATATATATATATATATATATATATATATATATATAAATATATATATATATATATATATATATATATATATATATATATATATATATATATATATATATATATATATATATATATATATATATATATATATATATATATATATATATATACGCTATATACGCTCCGTTCAGTTGAGTACTGTATTCGAAGTTTTCCTTAAGGAGTAAATTTGAAACATTTAATAAAAACTAATTATTTACCAATAAAAAAAGAATTTACTGAACTTATTGACAAAACTGACATTGTTATTAAAAAATGCTATGAAAGCATTTTCCACAGCTTGACGTCAAAAGAACATTCGGGCATCATATTTGTGACAAGCACAATTGAGACAAGCATATTCGACGTCAAAACAAAGATTCATGTGACTGCATCAAATATGATGTCAATACTCAAAGTTGTCGTCTAGAAATAGAAAAAGTGTTAGCTTTTAAAAATGATTCCGTACATCTAGTTAAAGCTATAAAATTTTGCTTCTTTAACAAAATGTTTCAAAAACAAGATGAATTAGAATATCAAATCTTTACAATCATATTATGAAACTATAATATTTACTTAAAAAATTTAATATTTATACAAATTAACTAAGGAAGAATATTAACATTTCCTTACTATTGCGATCACTACAACTTATAAAAAAGTGGTTTCTAACTTTAAAGATTAAGTAAACAGAGAAAATATGTAAGTTTCAGTTAATCGTTCCATTTTTCAAAAAGTGGAAATAAGGAAACCTCTGACTGTTTTATATCATTAAAAGACGGCTAAATCAAATTTTAAGAAAGTCTGCTGTCTAACATTCAAATCCTGCAAAGAATGAAGGAGGCAGATTTTAGTTTTTTTATATATATATTTTATTGAAAATCAGTTCAGAGTTATAAGAACTTTATAAAATTAAAAGGCGAAGCACCCTCGACGTAATAAATTATTTTCATGGTATTAATGGAAAAAAACTGTTATTAACTTTCATCTATCCATCTCTAAAAATCTTCCAATAGATATAAATAGTTTTGCTAAACAGCATGTATTTGTGAGCAAAATTGTTATTGCATTAATACAGCACGCAAGAAAATATTAACTTTTCAACAGCGGAATAAGATGAATTAAAAGAAGAGCAATTTTATTTTACGTGACTCTAGGCGCATTCGACGGCAACGAGGCCTGCAAACTAATTGGTATTTTCATTTTGATTTAGTTTCCGCAATTTTATAACATGAACTTTTTTGGTCTACATAGAGACAACGGTCTGAATATATGTCACAATCTATCAATCAAACAATATCATATGGTACAATCCATCATTTACCAAAAATGTCACTGCAAAAGTTAGTAAACGCTTTCTAACCGTAGTTGAGCACGTTTTCATTATTATCTACATTCACACTAATCACACTTCATTGAAATGTTAATTACTCTCTTTTTATTTTATACTTGTTTTTAAACCAGGTTCTTCCTTATTTGTATAAAGTTTTTTTTTATCAGTTCTTTAAATTGCTTGATCACTTCATATCATTTTACTTTTATGATAAAAATAGTTTGTATTTTTTTTTAACTTTTTCTGAATTTTTTGGTAACTTACATATAAGCATGAGTAAACGACATGGTTAAACAACAATAGTTAAGATTCTGTGTAAAATATTTGCATCTTCGCTTAGAAGTTATGGGTGTTCCTATGCACATAAACGGCCTTAGGAACTGCTTTGCTTTATGACATTTAGTTTGTATTATTTTTATATTACTTTTAATTCATTTCATTTATTAGGTTTCAATATTAAGGCTAAACCGAAAGAAATCTAATAAATAAATGAAAGTGTTAAAAATTGTGACTTGAGATAATTTAAACAATTTTAAATTTTTACTTTATTTATTTTTCTTTAGAATGGTTAACATGGAGTGAATGTTCTGTAACATGTGGAAATGGCTACAGAACTAAAATTAATTTAGGAGACATTACAAATGGTGAAAATAAAACAGAAACTTGTAATTTATTAGATTGTCCTGGTAATATTTATATTATAAAGTCAATCCTCTATTAAAGTAACGGATTTCAATTTTTGTGGTGGTTTAAAGGATTTTTTTTTGCTTACTTTGGTTTTTTATTGTTGTTACTCTAAAACTGGTTATAGTTTAATCCTTTCCTAAAAGGTAGAATTAGAATTTAATAAAATAGGATTGTAGAGTTTAACGAGATTTTATTATTTGATAAGGATGCATATTATTTCACATTATTGTAAATTAATTTAATCGTGTAGATAAACATTATAAAATAAACATTTTTTTTCAAGGATTTTATAGTAAACAAAGTTAATTCGATAAACATTTTTTTCACTTTTTTTTACAAATTTAAAATAAACAAACGCTTTGTTCAATGAAAATATAAAATTAAAAAGTCAGCAGTAAAACGATATGACCAAAACCTGTATAATCAGGGTGCGGATCCAGCAGTTCATGGTTTTTAAAATAGCTAAACTTCAGACATAAAGCAAACTCATAAATGTTATATGTTTATACCTGTTTAAAATAAAGATGTTTTGCCAAAAACGGCCCCTAAGTTTAAGCTGAGTTGTATTATCGAAGTGAGAGGAAAGTTGTAGCCATTCGGTTCAATATATGAATTAGTGAAAAAGTTTACATTATAAATCATTAAATACGGCTAAATAAAAAAAAAAAAAATAAAACAAATAAAGCAAAAAATTAATCAAAATAACTTTATTTTTTTGAATTTTTTATCATCACATAGACAACGTTTTGCAAATATTGCCAAAAAATCATTTAACTTTAAAAATTTTATGCGAATAATGCAACTTTAAAATTTAAATTATTATTGTTTCAAAAAAGTTAAAGGTTATAAGAACTTTTTGAAGATACAACAATTGATACAAAACAAACATAAATTTTTTTCTTGCATTATTTCTTTTTTTCTTTACATATGTCATTTTACAATATCAATGTTATTGTGTAGCAAAAGTTATTATAAAGCAAAATAGTGCAGGAATTCCAAGTTTAGAAACCAAAAATTTTTAAGTGAATACTAAAATATCAATAAAATCAACAATAAGAGAGTATAAGTATGAAATTGTTCATAAAGCCAATGGAAATCCTAAAATGATATACCAATATATTACCAGTAAAACTAAAATCAATCAGAATTAAGTACTCTTAAAATTGTAGATGGGACAATAATGATAATTGAATCAGATATTACTAAAGTACTGAGTTGTTGTTATTTATTCAGTTTTTCAAACGGAAAATGCGAATGTACTAACGTTTAATAAAACATTACCTAAACCAACTGCAAATTCGTATATAAATATCGACACCCTTATTCTAAAGTTATGTAAATTGAATCTCTCATTTGCTACTGGTACATTCTCTAATATTTTAAAAAAGAACCCTAACCCTGACCCTAACCCTGACATCTGTTAAACCAATCCATAAAAAGGACTCAAAACATGTCTGCAATAACTATAGACCAATATCATTGTTATAAAATGTCAGCAAAATTCTTAAAAGTTAATGAATTCTTGTATTTACCACTTTATTGATAAATTTAACTGTATCTACAACCGCTAGTTTGGATTTTGTTTAAAACACTCTACTTCTCATGCACTTATCTGCACTTATCTGCATTACTGAAATCAGTAGTGGTGCGATCGATAGTGGTTATTTTGCCTGTGACATCTTTATTGATCTCCAAAAAGCATATGAGACATTTGACCATAAGATTATAGTTGAAAAATTGTATCATTATAGTATACGGTGTATCGCTAATGATTGGTTTTCATCCTGTATTCAAGGTTTTAATCTACAAGTAAAGTTATTAAGTATGGTGAACCACAGGATTCTGTTCTAGGGCCTTTACTGTTTTCAATATATAATAACGATCTGCCTCACTCTATAAATAATTTGATTGTTCATCATTTTGCTCACGACACTAACCTTCTATACTTAAATAAATCGCAGCTTTGTTAAAAAATTAATTGATATCTTCATAATTTGTGTAACTGGATAAATATTATCCGTCTTTCACAAGATTTATTATTTTTCATACTGCAAAAAAAAAAAATTAATAGTGATAATGTGAAAAATAGAATTAACAGTTGAAGACTTTTTTCATCTAAATATATAAAATACCTAGTGCTATTTTTTGACAAAAACCTATCATAGTACTATCAAATGATTCAATTAAATAAAAACCCTCACGTTCAAATAGTATGTTGTCATTAAAACGAATCTCTGATCCCGAAAAATTCATCTTACTATTCATCATCCTCATCACATCTAAGTTATTCTAGCACTTTTTGGAGTCAAAAATGTAGCTTTCTATTACATCGTATTAACAGTTTACAACGCACTTCCGTAAAAAAAAAAAGATATTTACTCCTTTACAAAAAAATATCAAAAGTAGGTTTTCTAAGTAAAAATTCTGAAATTTTAAGATCTTGTAAAGCTTTGTGTTTGTTTTTCTACAAAACAAACTACCAAAACTGCATAATAAATTTTTTTATTAAAACAAGTGACACACACAAATATTACACTCGATATACAGAGCATATATATATATATATATATATATATATATATATATATATATATATATATATATATATATATATATATATATATATATATATATATATATATATATATATATATATACATTTATATATATATATATATGTATATATATATATATATATATATATATATATATATATATATATATATATATATATATATATATATATATATATATATATATATATATATATATATATATATATATATATATATATATATATATATATATATATATATATATATATATATATATACAGGCCTTGGCGGGTAGCTAGAGATATAGCTCTCGCTCGCGCCCACACTTCCCAATAAAGTAAAACTTTTTCACAAAAGTATAATTATTATTTAAATTAAAACAAAAAGCACAATGTCATTAAAATAAAAAGAAATTTATTTCATAATATACTGCAATGTTTTAACGAAACAATCTTACAACCAAAAAAAATGAGCCTCCTCAACAGCAGTAAGCTCCTATGGCCTTTAAGGGGTAAAATCTTTTTAAAAAAATGTAAAACTTATTTCTAATTGTAATTAATGAAATCAAACTTCTTTCCTTGTTTCAATTCTGAAAATAGGGATTTGTCAGATTGTAACTCGTTTCAAAAATTAATTACTGACTGAGTGTGTAATTCATTCAAATTAAAATTACCTTGTTTTAACTAAGTTCTGGTTTAAAACTTAAATGTTATCTTGCTGATTCTGTAGAATATAACTTTGTGTTCCTAAAACAATTTTAAATTTTTGTTTCCAGTTAAACACTTTATACTGCCAAGTACTGAAAATAACATATTTAAAATAATAACTAATAGGTAAGTAAAAAACTGAAAAAAAAAATGAACACTAAATTATGCGGTAGTAGTGTAATGGCTACGCAGTTACTTAATAAGTGAGAAGTTCTAAGCTTAATCTCTCTCACGTTCCTGGTAGTAATGCGGAGGTGGATAACAATAAAAATCAAATAAAATAAATAACCTAATACAAAAACATAAAAAAATTAACTTTTTACCGTTTTTCGTGAATCCAGGTTCAAAGGTTTGATAGTCAGTTTAGTTATAATAATGTAGGAATACCATGTCATAAAGTTTTTATCTATAAGTTTAATATAAAGAACTCGAAATTTATACAAATCCACTTTTTTTTTCTTTACTTTTTATATATTTGTACCAGTTATTTTTATCTTACAAAATAATGAAAAATTTAAAATTGACTACATAATATATCTATTGTATAAAAAAGCAAACTATTATCTTTACTTCAACTAATACTTAATAAATTTTACTTTTTACTTATAACTGTAGTTATTAAAAGCACTATTGAATATATTAAAAAAATGCAAAAGAGATAACAATACAAATTCTATATAATCGATTAAGTTTTCTTATAAGTTACAAAAAAATAAAATACTAATTTTTGAATAAAAAATACTATTATAAAAATTTATATAAGAAAGACATTACACAAGTTATATTATTTCTAGCCTAGAACTATTTCCACAAGAACTAAAAACAACAAAAATTCTTCATTCCAATAAATAAGAAGATATTATGAGTTAAAACAGCTAAATTAAATGTCATAAAAAAATAAACTCTGTATTTTTATTAAAATTTAATTAACTTATTAAATAGTTTAATCATTGAATTATTTATTTGTATATAAAATACTCTGTGAAAATTATATATGTTAGAGATTTTACTATATAAGTTATGTTAAATATACAAAGACTTTGTATACTTTGTCAAAGTATGCAAAAAATAACAAAAATCTCAACAACTTTTGAACATAAAGTTTTAAAAAACTCTTATTTATCATCAAAATGATAAAAAATTTATATAAAATACGACTGTAGAATAAAAAGAAATAATGTAATAAATAATAGTCAAACAGATTATAATGCAAAGAAAACAGATTAAAAATAAGACAATTATTTTATAACGGTTTTTCAACCATTTAAAATGCGCAAGTTTTTTTTGTTTAGCAAAATCAAGTTGTGTTTATGTTGGAATGCTGATGTTGATATGATGTCAAAAGTAAAAACGTTAAAAAAGTAACGTTGTCCCAAAGTTGTTCTAACATTAATCAGATTAACGTTGGTTTTACGTTAAACAACCAACGTTGTTTCAACGTCGTTTTAATGTTAAAAAGGAATACTTTAAATAATACCGTTTTTCCGACGATGTTCCAACGTTTGATAGACAAACCATGGAATAACACCATTATACCCGACTTTGAAATATCGTTGGAATTTAGTTAACTTGCGCCGCGACCAAAATCCAACTAAATTAAAACAACGACGCAACGCCTTTTTCTTACTGGTTTGTGTAATCGGTGCTAGCCCATACATTTTTTCCGTAATTTAAATAACTATGTGTAAAAGAAAAATAAAATTTTTTTAAAGACCTAATGTTAAAGAGTGTTTTGCTTTATACGTTATTGTTTACAGATGTTTGTCTAATAATATTATTTTTATTCATTTTTAGATCAGGTAGTTTTAGAGGAGTATTATTTGTTTTATTTCGTTTACAAATTAGTATATACTTAGTTTTCGTAACGTTAAGCGATAGTTTATTACATATAAAGAACTCGTTTAGTTTGTTTAACTCTTTATTAACTACTTTAAAAGCGTTTTTAAATCCCTATGTGAGTTAAACAGATTGGAGTCATCTGCAAACGAAATAGAATTTAATAAGTTTGATTTAAAAGATAAATCATTATATAAAGTGAAAATAATAGCAGTCCTAAATTCGATCCTTGAGCATCTCTGCATGATAAATATTCTTTAAACCAAAGAAATTTATTTATTGTTTTTTTATTCCATAATGTTCAAGTTTTTTAAGAAGACTGACATGTCTAAGGCTTTAGACAGATCAATAAAAATTCCTAATGTCAAACAATTATCATTAAAGGCATTTGTGACATTTGTTACTAATTTGGTCAAAGCATGATGGGTTGAGTGAGTTTTTCAAAACCATATTGCTTTTTGAACAACATGATGTTCACCGTTATATAACTGTTGAGCCTATTATACATTATACGTTCGAGTTACTTAGAAAAACATAAAAGAACCAGTATTGGTCTATAATTTGAAGTGTTTATGCCATCACCTGATTTAAAAATAGGTGGGACCCAAGCAATTTTTAGTTTTTCTGGAACAGTACCTGATTTAATAAAAAGATTAACGATGTAATATAAAGAGGTTTCTATAATATTAAAAACTGATTTTACAACATGCACGCTAATTTAATCAAAACCTGAACTATTATTGTTTCTAAGACTATCAGAGCAGATTGCAACGTATAAATATCAGATTTGTCCATTACTTTATCATATATTTTCAAATGAGAATCATATGAAGAAGAACTTGACGGAATTTTTTCAGCTTAGTAAGGCCCAATTTTAGTCAAGAAGTTATTTAAATTTTTGTTTTATCGTATATTTCCTATCTACTAAATATTTATTGGCAAAATTAGTTTTTTCATTTTTTTTGAATATGTAGTTTTTTGTTAATTGGAAAATGTTTGGCAATATGTTTTAAATTGCATTTTCATATTTTTTCGGTGACATTTATATTAAAAGTACGGCTGTACCAGATAATTTTGCGTGTACGGTTTTTCTTTTGTTGTTGGTGAAAGTTAGGTTAGTATGATAAATTATGTAAAACCAAAATTTTGTGGTGCTTTATTATAAACAGGTACCGATTTCTTAAACGTTATTTTGCTGCTAGAATATCCAGAAAATCCCAGTTTCGCATTTTGATGTTGTATTGCAATTTATTTATGTGCTTTATACATATTTTACATTGAGATACTGGTCATATTTTTTTTGTTATTTATATTCTTGTTTTGAAGGGGCTTGGCGATTAAACTGAATTTGTCTTCTAATTGCGGCGAAATACATAATTGTTGCTACATTTAAAAAGAAAAAAGCCTTTATCGCATTCTCTTGATTAAGTTTTCCATTTTGTCTAATAATTGCATTTTATATTCTTTAATAAATGGGATTGGAATACTGTTGAGTAAATACTTCAAGATTGTTTTCTCCATTTGCTTATACGACTTAAGTTGAGTGCTCAACTTATAGAGCAAATGTTTTGTACATCCTTATCAAAGAAATAACATATGGTAAAACTATAAGATCCTATTTTTATAACTTTATATTTCAATTAACAAAAAAATACATGAAATTTTCACTAAGATTACTGTAAAAATTAGCTACAGTTGCATTCCGAACATGATATGAAAACAATTTTCCTTTGTTCAATAACTGCTTGACTAATAACATAATACACCAAGCAGCAATCACATGGGATAGCCCTTCAAAAAAAAAATTATTGGTTTTAGTGAAACACCTAAACTGATATATTCCAACTATTTGAAGTCATTTCACATCCCCGAAAATAAAAAATATAGTACACTGCTGTCAAACAAGGTTTGGAACTTTAAAGATAACATGCAAAATTCCTTGTTTAGTTGAAAAATAAATAAAAGATGTGACGCTTATAACCTGATCACAACATCGTACAAATGATGCTTGAATAAAAAATATGGAATTGTTTCAAACAATAACAACAGTTAAATAAAAATACTGGAAATATATTGAAGTATCAGCATAAAAATGATTTTATTCTATGTCAATTAGACACTGGGTAAAGTTAGACATCATGTAATGTTTGACGTGAGATTGCCTTAACTATTTTGTATATTAAACGGTTTTTTAAAATTTTTTCTTTCAATTGACTTGAACTGTTATTGTGGTTTGACCTTCTCCAGCTAATTGCCACACGGGGGACACATTACAAAAACCCTCAAAGACAAGTTTAGCTTCTTAAAGAGCGTCATAACCTGCTCTACGGACCAAGAATAAAGTGATTTTGGGAGAAACGAAGTTATATTAGAGTGAAAAACAGAAGTAATCGAGTTAGAAAGATAGCATAGAAAATGCGCACACGATGTTAGAAAGTGCAACATGTACTGTTTTTAGGTCACCTAATTAATGTGCGCCAACAAAGACATATTCGTCCTGAACTCCAAAAACTAAACCTTTATATAGAAATTAATAATTTAAATGCTAGCGGGTTTGATTTTAATATTTATTGTTATTCATTAACAAATCTTTATTCATTTTTATTTTACATTTTTAAAATTTTCATTTTCAAAGTCGCCTAATATAACTAGTGGGTTTGTTATTATTATTTTTTTATAGTACACTTTTTTCCAATTAAACCGTTACCAATCCATGGGTCAATGTTATAAAAATTTTTATCGGCGTAAAATGCAAACAGCAGTAAATTTTATCGACGTAAATGATCTTTTTCAATGTTATAAAAAATTTTAAAATATTACCGACAAAAAAATCTACAGCCTAAACGTTTACCGTCTATGAACGTTCCAGAGGAGCAACATTCGGAAATTTTAAAGTTCCAAATATATGAATATTTTGTTGTAGAAACCTGTGACTCAGAACTTATCAAAGTATATACATATATATACTTTGATATATATATATATATATATATATCAAAGTATATATATGTATATATATATAGTATATATATATATATATATATATATATATATATATATATATATATATATATATATATATATATATATATATATATATATATATATATATATATATATATTATATATATATATATATATATATATATATATATATATATATATATATATATATATATATATATATATATATAGGAATCTTCTTGTCCTTAAAATTTTAGTTTATTTTTTTAATTTTGATAAAAGCGATTTGCATTGTTCCACATATTAATGATGTTTTTTGTAATTTACATTAAAACATTAGTTACAACAACGTTAAAAAACTAAGATTAAAAACTGTTAACAATGATCGACAGTTACTATTGTTAATTTGCTTTTAAATGTCTGTCAAAACTGTTACAGCTTATGTCGTAGAGTTCGTACTATTTTGTCATTTATTTTAATAGTTTTTAATTTTCTAGACCTTTACAAAATTAATTGACTGAAATATTTTAATAGAAACATTTAACTTTAGTTGCTGGACAAAAATGGAGATAAGTACAGCAACTTGAAATTTTTGTTTAATTTTTTTCTTCTATAGAATGGTCAATATGGAGTGAATGTTCTGCAACATGTGGCAACGGCTACAAAACTAAAATAGGTTTGGGAGCCAAAACCAAGGGTAAAACTGAAACAGAAAGTTGTAAACTTATAAACTGTCCAGGTACTAATTTAATTAAAAAATTTGTCTTTTGTTAAGCTTGCGTTTGTTTCCTTGCTTGTTGTTGTAAAAAAGTTTGTTTTTTATTTCTTTTTTAACAAGTAAAATAAGAGGTAATAAAAACGGAGTGGTTGAATTTCACCAAATCTTTTTCAACAGGCATCATAATACCATAAATTTAAGAAATATTCAAATCGTATTATTATTGCGTTTTCCTTGCACATAGTTGAAAAAGAAATTACTTAACAAAACTTGTGTTAAAACGTTTTAAAGGAATATGCAAAACGACTTTTGTTTTCAGTGTAGTTTAGTTAGTAATGTCTTTTTCAGTTTTTGTATGGTAATAAAATAAACATTAATAAAAAAAATTTTTGGTATACTATGTATATTAATATATATATATATATATATATATATATATATATATATATATATATATATATATATATACATATATATATATATATATACATATATATATATATATATATATATATATATATATATATATATATATATATATATATATATATATATATACATATATATATATATATATATATATATATATATATATATATATATATATATATATATATATATATATATATATATATATACATATATATATATATATATATATATATATATATATATATATATATATATATATATATATATATATATATATATATATATATATATATATATTATTTTGAAACATCAAAAATACGATTTCTCTCAACACTTATAGATTTTTTATTATTATAGAAACTTTCGCTGGATTTTAAATACCAGCTTCTTCAGCTTGTTAAATGTTACAGTAATTAGAAAACCGTTATAATTTAAATTAAAACGTTGCTATTGACGTCAGCGGTTGAATGGCTTCTTTTACGCTGAAATTTTAAAAATGGCGTACAAAACTAAGTTTTACGTATTGACCCTCATCGAGATTAATCCCGCCATTTTTTGCAGAACACATGTTTTTTTGTATTTCTAGGGCTTCCCTAACTTTTCTTTCAAATTTTTTATTTTCTACTTTCAATGTTTTTGTTCTTAAATAATTTCTTTTTTGCAAAATGTTTTATGCAGAGCTAATGCAGATTGATGCTGCTTATTTTCATCAATGCTTTTTTGGTGTTGATGCATTCGTGTGTTTACTTTCATTTTTGTTTCGCCTACATACACTTTTGAACAGTTGCATTTGATTATATATGTTCCTGGTTGACTCTTATTAGGTAATTTTGATTTATTTTTTGGATGTTAACAGGGATCTTAAGTTTGGGTTTGATTTGAATACCGCTCTGTAACCAGCTTTTCGGAATATTTTCCTAAGTTTTGGCAAGAGACCGGGTACCCATGGTAAGGAAACTACAGGATAATTATTGATTTCAGATGGATTTGTAATTTTATTTTGTCTTTTGCGTTGAAACTGATGCGCAATATTCATCATTTGAGTTTTATCGTAACCATTTTCAATAAACACGTTGATTAGAAAATTTATTTTTATTTTGCAAGTAAGACTTACTACAGATTGAGTAAGCTCGGTGGAGAAATCCTTTAAAAATAGAGTTCAAGATATTTGGATCATGATTAGAGTGTGGCTTAATTTGGATGTTAGTGATAGCATCTTTTTGATATACTCCGTATTCATACTTTCCTGTTTTTTTGTTCATAACTAAGAACTCAGATATTCCGTAGTTTGCTGTGCCGATTGTGCAGATAATTATTCTCATAGGATAGAATTTTTCAGGTTTGTGGGCTTTGATTACACCATACATACAAGGCGGGATGGGATCACTAGGATATATTTTTTCGTATTCCTTTTTTGATAAACAGTTTCTTTTATTTAGTTTTGAAAGATATCTACGAATTTTAGCCGCGTAAATTGCAGTAGGGTCTTCACTTACTATTTTTGTTTGGTCTATTTGTTCGCGAATTTTTTCCAAGGCTTTTGAATGTTCGATTCGTACAAAACCTGTTTCTTTGTCGAATGGATATATGTCAACGTTTTATATTTTGCAAAATGTTGCAAAATATATTGCTAATATTGCAAAATGAATGTGAAAATAAAAACAATAATGCCGAAAAAACAACAAATTATAAAAAAAATGCTGTCCTAAACTTATGCGTTACCGACATTCTAGTAAGTCATAATAATTTTCTAAATCTCGGTCCACACTTTGTACCATCTTTAAAGTTGATACCATATATGGATATTATTAACTCCACGGAATCCTCTGCGTTAAAATTAGAATACGACAATAAAATTGGTAATGCCCAAGACCTAAGGAAAAATGTTTTAAAAGAACTAAAAACCGGAAAAAAAGTAAAAAATAATCTTACAAAAGAACAATGGAAATCTTACAAGGAAAAAAGAGAGGAAAAAAACATTGACATATATCCATTCGAAAAAGGAACAGGTTTTGTACGAATCGAACATTCAAAAGCCTTGGAAAAAACTCGCAAACAAATAGGCCAAACAAAAATAGTAAGTGAAGACCCTACTGCAAATTACGCGGCTATAATTCGTAGATATCTTTCAAAACTAAATAAAAGAAACTGTTTATCAAAAAAGGAATACGAAAAAATATATCCTAGTGATCCCATCCCGCCTTGTATGTATGATGTAATCAAAGCCCACAAACCTGAAAAATTCTATCCTATGAGAATAATTATCTGCACAATCGGCACAGCAAACTACGGAACATCTGAGTTCTTAGTTAAGATAATACAACCAGTTTTGAATGAAAACATGACAAGATTAAAAAATTCCTTTGACTTTATTAAAAAAGCTGAATCTTGGAAAATTGACAACGATGAACTTCAGGTATCTTTTGATGTCGTAAATCTGTATCCGTCGGTTCCTTTAAAAGAAGCCACCCTTGTACTTATAGAAAAATTAAATAATAATACAACATATAAAAAATTAACAAGACTAAGTATACCTGAAATAAAACAACTTATTGAACTATGTTTATTTCAATGTTATATTCATTGGAACAATGAAATTCATATAATAAAACTCGGGTCCAATTGGACTTTCGTTCATGGTCGTTCTTGCAGAATCATTTCTACAGTTCCATGAAAACAATGCAATTAAAATTGCACTAAATTTTAACCCTGCACTTAACTTCAAATCGTTCTTAAGATATGTCGATGATAGTCACGCAAGGTTTCCAGATCTCAACAAAGCAAAACATTTCCAATACATTTTAAATCAACAACATTCTTTCCATCCAGTATACAATTGAAGTTGAAAACGAGTTAGGAACACTAAATTATCTGGATATACAAATTATGAACAAAAAAACAGGAAAGTGTGAATACGGAGTATATCGAAAAGATGCTATCACTAACATTCAAATTAAGCCACACTCTAATCATGATCCAAATATCTTGAACTCTATTTTTAAAGGATTTCTCCACCGAGCTTACTCAATGCCTTTAAATGTCTTTCGAAACAGTTACATCTTATGTCGTAGAGTTCGTACTATTTTGTCATTTAGCTCAGCAGTTTTCGTTTTTTAGGCTTTTAATATGTTAATTGACTGAAATATTTAAATAGAAACAATTAG